CCAGAAGGTGTTGGATCCCCTGGAATTGGAGTTATGGACAGTTGTTAGCCATCATGTGGGTGCTGGGAATCAAACCTGGGTCCTCTGGAAGAACAGCAAGTGTTCTAACTGCCAAGCCATCTCTTCAGCGCCTCCCACCCACACCACAAACCTTTTTAAGAAACCACAGGAAGATAAATTGGAACTGTTCATAAATCCCAAGTACAGAAATTTCCACAGAAGGCCTTCTCAATTTCTTATCTTGTGTCTCACTACACAGCCTAAGTGGGCCTTGAACTCAGTCCTCCTGCCTGAGCCTCTCAAACACTTGCCTAGATTGCAAGCATCTGTCACCACACTTGGCTCTTTCTCAACTTTTTTCTTTTTATTTATCTATCTATTTATTTATTTCTCAACTTTTTAAGAAATGAAGTCCTCTTTTACTTGGGTAATTAAAAAAAACAAAAACGAAACACATTGTGTTTTAAATTTCATTATTTTTATTTTTTATGTGTATGAGTATGTTGCCTGCATGTATGTAAGGGCACTCATGTCATGCAATGCCCACAGAGGTCAGAAGAGGGCATTGGATTCCCCTGGAACTGGAGTTATGGATGGCTGTTAGCCACCACGTGGGTGCTGGGAATGGAACCTGGGTCCTTTGCAAGAGCAGCCAGTGCGCTTAACTGCTGAGTCATCTCTCTCCAGCCCCACATTGTGTTTTGAAAATAGATGGTTTTCCTTTTTCAAAAACTCTAACATAAGCTTTTCTTTTTTCTTTTTCTTTTTTTTTCTTCTTTTTTTGTCTTTTTGAGACAGGATCTCCCTGTAGCTCCAGCTGTCCTGGAACTCACTATGTAGACCAGGCTGGCCTCGAACTCACAAAGATCCACCTGCCTCTGCCTCCCAAATGCTGGGATTAAAAGCGTGCGCCACCACACCCAGCCCTAACATAAGCTTTTCAAACATACCTGGCCACCCATGCTATGATGCTGTCCCCTCAGAGTGAGCCTCCATGAAGGCAATGACGGGTACCAAGTGCACACATATGCCAGCCTCACTGCACAGTCCCTGGTGGCCCAGGGAGCAGGCCCCTCTCATTCCTGTTTCCAGGGCTCTCTCTGGATAAGACAGTAATATGAACGCTAAGCTGTTTGCTTTTTATTAAATGACTCATTGAGAGTCTAAAAGTCACATGGCAATTTATAGAATAATGCTCACGAACACACTGCAGACTACATTGACAATTCTGTTTACCATTTGGATGATTCTTATATGGGTATCCAAATGTATAAACACCAGCATTTCTTCTTAATCTGGTCCTACGTGACTATAATTCCTGAGGCAGCTCAGAGTCTGAGGGTTACATCCCTGGATGTAAACCAAGTCCCACGGGGGATCTGGGTATTTATGTTCCCACATAGAACACAATGGGATTCATAACTCCAGTCACAGTGCACATTTAAAAATGGAAATGGGGCTTGTGCAGCGAGGCAGAGGTGGTCTGAGTTGAGTCCACAGTGCTCAAAGCCAAGAGAGACACTCTTCTGCGGGCTGTGATGAAAATGCCGACTGTACCGAGACCTGCAGCTAGCTGCCTTGACCCAGAGAGCCCAGAGTTCAGAGAGCAAAGACCACAAACCTCAAACAGGAAAACCTGATTATCAGAGACTAGGAAGTACGGCACCTGAAGACCAGGTCTAAGGGAAAAGGTTCTGAAACTCAACGTAACTGGCCGATATATAGAAAATATCAAAGATCTACAGACAGCAAAAATAACAAGAGGAAAAAACTTTATTCCTTTGAAATTTTCCAGTGAATCAACTAATTCAGAAATAAGTCTGATGATAATCAAACTATGCAGTTATTACCAATTAAAGATGATTTCTGAATTCAAAATATGACATTAAGTCAGGCATTTTATCTTAAAAATAATAAGTGGGGGTTCAAGAGATGGCTCAGTGGTTAAGAGTACTGGGTGTTCTTGCAGAGGACCCGGGTTCGATTTCCAGCACCCACATGGTGACTAACAACTGTCTGTAACTCCAGTTCCAGGGGATCCAACGCCTTCTTCTGATCTCCTCAGGTATTATATGACTGACACAGGTGCACTTACACACATGCAGGCAATACACTCATACATATAAACTAATTTTTTTTAAAAAAGTAACCAGTGACTGCAGAAAAACCAGAAGCTGGCAAGCTCAAGAAGGCTGTGCTTCAGTGTTATCGGGCCGACTGTTAGCTTGTGCAGAAACCGGCACAGGTCAAAGATGAGGTTCTGCAGCAAGGAACTTCCAACTGTGTTCCCTAAATCACAAAGCCAGAGCTGTGCACACTGGCAGTGTCAGAGCCTCAACTATGACCGAACCACTACAGTAAAGCAGTGAGCACTGACTCTGTGAGCTCCACACTCAAGAGCGTACTCCTGGGAAGCTATCGGAAGTCACCACAATGACACCAGTGCACTGGCAAGCAAGGCCGCCTGGGAACCCAAGCGTTACGATCAGAAGAGGGCTTGTGAAAAAGGCCCACTACAATGAAAACAGCTTTAGCTGTTGTCAAACCCAGTTCTTCTCAGGACATAAAAAGAAATAAGGCACTATCAAGAAGTGTAACACCTGAAGTTGACGTGAGGCCTGATTCACCAAGCTGACAGAAAAGTGCAAAACCAGTTACCAGACTTACTACAGCAAGAGCAAGCGCTGATAGATCAACTCAGCCCAAGAAAACCACAGCACAGAGAAAAGCATCTCAATGGGTGGACAGCTGGCAAGGACGAGCGCTAACAAGGCCTCCTCATTCAACAGCTCCCACCTATGCTGGAGGAAATGGAAAACCAGTCCAGCCCTTGGTCCTCCACGGCAGATGAACGAAGTTTATCTACTGAAAAATAAAGCATTTCTGAATGCTTGGACCTGATGAGTAAGGGATGCCCCAAAAGAAATTTAATGCACACTGAATGACCTGATTAGAAATACTCCAGATGCCAAAACACCTGCTAAATAATAGTATGCCTGTACTTACTGAACCAATCACAAGTGTTACTGAAATCTAAGAGAAGGCCATTCACACAGGGGCTCAGCCTCCTGAAGAGATGTGACACACAATCAGGCATATCCTAACAGTGAAGAGTTGAAAGTTAATTTGGGAGAAAATATTGAGGAGGCTCATGCAAACAAGGAACATACCCAAGCAGTCAACACTGGCGTTGTATACAGTGTTCATCTAGAGCCAGGAAGACCAGAAGTGGATGAACACAGTAGAAATGCGGTTCAATATCGGGAAAACCGCCAAGGCAACAGAAGATCCAATCGGTGACATCACAGCCCGATTCAGAAACTGGAGTGGGTTGCATGATTCAATATAATGCATCTTCTGCACCATGCTTATGAAGTACACAAAAGATGCAACACAACAAAGTAAATTCTACATTTAAAGAGCTGTGGTCCGTAACACAATGAGAGGTTCCCAACGGCAGGCTTGCTGAAAGCCCATGCCTGTCTCCACTGGATGGCCATCAGAGCTGAGAGCTGTTTGGTGTGCCCTGGGCTCTCTGACATACGAGAGTAGAGAAATAAAGCTCCCAAAGGAATGAGAGGTTAGAATTCTTACTCCTGGGGAGTTTTGTTTTATACGGCTTTGTGATTCCTTTAGGTCTGGAGTCACTGAGGTGCCTAAATATTCACAGCAGTGAGTTCGTTCAACAATGTTGCTCAATGTTATAGGAGCAGCAGCCCTTCTGTGTGTCAGAAATCTAAGCCTGCTTGTGTCAATCTCTACAGACTGTTTTTCTTTGATATATGTGAACTTTGTCAGCTTGTTTACTGGTTTTTTTAAATAAAATATCAACGGGCATAATGGTGCATGCTGTTAATCCCAGCACTTCGAAAGGCAGAGGCCAGACTGAGACACAGTGAGACCATTTCAAAACCACAAAACCCCAAACCCAAAAATCAGACAAACACATGTTAGTTTGTTCACTTTACTAAATTTAAGTACAATAATGATGCACCATCAGAAAATGTATTCTAAACAGATTTTTATTTCTATATTGAAAATAAACAAAAAAATGGAAATGGGCCTTCATAAGACCCTGCACCACATATACACTGTTAACCCAAGAGGTCTTCGCAGACTCTTATCACTTGTGATATTTGCTCTAAAGGGATTTCATTCATTACTTTCTGCATTAACATTAAATTCTCAACCCGTCTGTGAAGAGTGGACTCAAATTGGCATCGCCTGATAAAAATCAGATCAGTCAACGGTCAGTTACACCAGTGCCCCACACACTGTCAGGCTGTATGGCCCTCACAAGATCATTTGAGGACACCTTGAAATCCTTGCCAGTCAGGAATAATACAGTAACAGCTGTATTCAGTGAAAGGACAGTGGGCTGTACTTTGAAAACTCCCTTAAAAAACAGCAAAGTAGCATTTAGAGACAGCTCTTATGATTTCCTATCCCAAGAGTAAAAACCGATGTTTAGTAAGTCTTTTAGGGCTGACGTTCTTGCAGCCGTTACTAATGGCACAAGTGAACTGTCCATGGAACTCAGACAATGCCTCTATTAAAGTTCCCATGTGGCACTTCTCCCAAGGCCCGTCTCTTCATGCTTATACATCCTATACATAATAAAATAAACTCTTTGTTTTACTTATATCAAACTAAAAAAATTATTTTCCTTTTAACCTTTTCATTAAGTCTTCTAGTATAAGCCAAAGTATTCTTATGAAAGAAAAAGAGCATTGTTATCTAGCTTAAAAGTTCAATGTTGGGCAGTAATTCATATTTTTTTATTAAAAAAAAATCAAACTTTATAGGAATAAGTTCTTAAGGGATTTAATGTTCTTTTTAATGTTTTTTTCAAAACATGAATGATTAGCTGGGTGTGGTGGCACATGCCTTTAATCCCAGCATTTGGGAGGCAGAGGCAGGTGGGTCTCTATGAGTTCAAGGCCAGCCTGGTCTACATAGTGAGTTCCAGGACAGCTAGGGCTACTGGGAGACCAAAAAAAAAAAAAAAAAAAAAAAAAAAAAAAAAAAAGAATGATTCCACAGATCCATATAATTACAACTGAAGGAAGTTTAATGAGCATGCATGTCATGGATCAGAACTCACAGATGAAGACCTGTGCCTATGTTCTCTATTTTTTTGTGCTGCAACTGAGCCCAGGGCCTTGCACATGCTAGGCAAGTGCTCTAATCAAGCCACATCCGCAGCCCTTAGAGATGGCTTTTTTAAAAGAATGTACAAAGTACTAAAAAGCTGTTTCACTTTTCAAACTTAAGAAATTTTAAAATGCATCCTGAAAACAAAACATTTTCTTTCTAGTAGCATCCAGTAAGCTAGATGGCAGTTAGCTTTTCACAATGCAGTAAAACACCAGGGGCTGAGAGTTTGCAGTAATTCAAATGCTTACAAATAATAGTGGTTTAATTGATAGCACTGGGGCAATAAATAAGTTACTTCACAGACAGGTTTGAGATCAGATCCAGTGTACATGTCATCTGTTGACTGCTTGTGAAGAGTGAAGCTCCTCAGTCTTGGCACTTGTTTGCCTCTCCTTCCCCAGGTGATCATCTGGAGGAAATACAAGTGTTAGGACTTACCCCAGCTCAAAACAGGTGGACAGGCAAGCATGTCTATATGAATTTTTAGGCATCAAATATTTAATGCCTTTTTATTATTACACTTATTGATTGGGGGGGAGCAGGTGCCTCAGCACATGTGTGGAGGTCAGAGGACAACTTGAGGGAGTTGGTGCTCTCCTTCCACGAAGTAGGTCCCAGGATTAAACTCAGGTCAGCAGGCTTGGCAGCACATGCCTTTACCCACTAAGCCATCTTGCTGGCCCTACTATGTGAGTTCTATAGATGGTTTAGGATAATGAAAACAACTTCATTTCTTGAACATCACTGAGGACATCATAAATGTGCAGTGTTAGGAATTCACTGTAAGTATTCAAAAGTGTTTCTTGGGTTTCTTTACATACCCCAGGCTGTCCTAGAACTCTTTATGCAGCCCAAGCTGGCCTTGAACGCCTGATGTTCCTGCTTCAGCCTAAGTGTTGGCATCACAGGCTTGTGCCACATACCCACACATACAGTTTGAATTTCTTTTTTCTCCATGAGTAAAGTGTGACCTAGAGTACCATGTGGCCAATCACTCTCTAAGATGTAAAGAATGGAACTCACGAGAGAGGGCAGGTGTACAGTAGCACTGAGCCATTAAAACAACAAAACTTCTACTGGAAAAGCCTTCCAGCAGCACCCTCTTGTGGTAAGAAAAAAGAGGCACAGTTTAGATCTTCCTATTAAAACTGTAACTCTGGGGCTGGAGAGATGGTTCAGTGGCCAAGAACACTGACTGTTCTTGCAGAAGACCCAGGTTCGAATCCCAGCACCCACATGGCAACTAACAACTGCCTGTAACTCCAGTTCCAGGGGATCCAATAGCCTCTTCTATCCTCTGTGGGCATTGCATGACACGGGTGCACTTACCTACATGCAGGCATAACACTCATACACATAAAAATGATAATAATGAGCCGGGCATGGTGGCGCATGCCTTTAATCCCAGCACTCGGGAGGCAGAGGCAGGCGGATCTCTATGAGTTCAAGTCCAGCCTGGTCTACATAGTGAGTTCCAGGACAGCTGGGGTTCAGGGAGACCCTATCTCAAAAAGACCAATAAATAAATAAATAAATACGTAGGTAGATAGATAGATGATAGATAGACGATAGATGATAGATTAGATAGATAGATATAAATATAGATAGATATATATGATATATCTGTAACTCTATCCAGAAAATTGTGGGAAATAGTTTTCAAATTCCAGGATACAGGGTCCACAAGATGGCTCAGTGGATAAACAAGCTCTTCCTTCAAAGCCTGAGGACCTCAGTTAGATCTCTAGAATACACATGGTGATTCCCACAAGTGTCCTCTGACCTCCAAATGTGCACAGCAGCATATATACACACACACACACACACACACAAGTGTAATAAAAAACAATTAATAAATTGGGATAAAGAGGTGGCTCAGCAGTTAAGAGCACTGGCTGTTCTTTCAGAGGACCCAGGTTTGATTTCCAGCGCCCACATGGCAGCTAACTCCAGTTCCAGGGGATCTAACACCCTCTTTTGACCTCAAGGGCATTGCACAACATGGGCGCACTTATATACATGTAGGCAACACACGCATACACATAAAATGAAAATTAAAAAAATAATAATTTAAAAAATGCAGAGGGAAAACTAGGTTCCTGAGGGTATACCATCCCAGACACCAAATACAACTGACAAAACCTTCCCTGTGACAACTGATTACAGGAAAAAAATATAAACTTAAAGCTACTAGAAAACTGTAATTTTAGACTCAAATCACACACGGAATCTGCCATTCCTTAGGACAGCGGGATGGCCCACAGATGTGAGTTCTCACCAACTGGTTAGCTCAGGACAGACCCCTTTCTGGGTCAACAAAACATGAAAATGTCTTTCCCTCAAGTGCAGGTAAACTTTGCTAAACTGAACAAAATTAAAACTTTCCTTAGGACATAATGAATTTAGGTTTTCTAGAAAACTATTTTGTTTACTTGTGTGTGTGGCATATGTGCATGTGTGTGTGAGGGTGCACACATCTGTGCATGTACATGTAGAGGCCAGGAGAATCTTCCTCCACCACTCTCCACCTTCTTTTTTGGGACAGTCTCTCAATGAACCTGAAGCTCACCATTATGGCTAAGCTGGATGGCTGATGAGGGAGCTCCTAGAATCTGCCTGTTTCTGCCCCACCAACACTGGGATTACAGGCATACATGGCCATGCCTGGCTTTTATGTAGGTGCTGGGAACTGGAAGTCAAGTCCCGTTGCTTTCACAGCCAACATTCTTATCCAGTGAGCTATCTCCTCAGTCCCCTAGAAAAGTATTATTTAAAAATGATGTCTAAGCTGGCATATGCCTGTAATCCCAGCTGAGGCTAGAACAGGTCTTCCATAAGCCTGAGGCCAGCCAAAATTACAGAGTAAGTGCCAGGTCAGACAGGGCTATACAGAAAGAGCCTGTCTGAAACAAGTAAGCAAAGATAAAATTAAATTTTAAATTTTAAGACTTTTAAAATTTTTATTACATTTATTTCTCTGTGCCTGTGTATGCACATAAGCACATATGCACAACAGATACATGCGGAGTTCAGGGACAACCTGTGGGAATCATTCTCCTTCAACCTTGTGGATCCTGAGATTCAAACTCAGGCTGTGAGGCTTGGCAACGAGCACCTTCATCACTGAGTCACCTGCTGTGACTTAATCCCAGCACTTGGAGATAGAGGCAGTAGCTCTCCGTGAGTTCTAGGCCTGCTGGGGTTACTAGAAGACCCTGTCTCAAAAAATAAAAAAAAAAACCAACCAAAACCAAAAAAAAAAATAACAAAAGTTAGTACTCTGAAAAAATATGGGCTATTCTCCTAAGAGTCAGTCTATTATTTGTAGATAACTGCCATCTACCACAGGAAATGTCTTGAAAATGTAAAGGAAGCACATAGCCATGACTTCTCTACATGCAGTTGCCAATCTTGCCTTTTATTTTCCAGTCTGGGAGAGGAAAAAGAGGACTTGATTTAAAAAACAAAAAAACTATATAGTATGGGAAGGTTAAGCTTTTCCAAAGACTATAAACTGATGTGAAAATTTGGGTTTCTTCAAGACTTTGACACAGAAATTATACTTAAGCATTTTTCCCACTCAACCTCTCTCCCTTTCAAGATTTTCTTTCTTCAGAGCACTTTGTTTTCAGGGGGCTGAGTAACACAGGCTAGCCATATAGACATGAGCAGAGTTAAACTATGACTCAAAACCTCAGGAAGAGACTACACTTGCTGAAGCTCAAAAGAGAATCTTTTGCCTACCCACTGGCTTTCTTCCACTTGGCTGCCAGTCGAGACTCAGGTTTGGGGGCTGGAGTGCCGACTCTGTCCGAAGTGCATTCTGCATGCCATCTGGAGGACTGCGCAAGAAATGAGCTAAAATTCCATATAAAAGAGGGCTACGACAGGAAGAAACCAAAAACAAAATCAATACACTTTGCATAGGTAGGAAAGGCTTAAGACACTGACTTTAAAGATAAGCTCTGACACTGAAATGGCCAGCTAAATCACTCATGCCCAAAAGACACAGGGTTATTATCCAAATGGCCAACGTTCAGTCTTAATTTAAAAGTATCATTTAACAAGAGGAACAATTTAAAAATCCACAGAAAACATATTAGCACCTTAAAAATCATATAAACTGAAATGATGTTCCAATCAATCCACTGGAATTCAGCTTGTCAACTCCAAGTTCAGCCCAATACTCCCCAGATTCTAACTCTGGCTGGTGGGCTGATTGATGTCTGTGGGGTTCCTTGTTGTCCAGTTAAGGTCCTTCCAGAGAGCATGGGGCTTGCCTTCAAATTCTGGCTTTGCTGATGGCCAGCTGTGGACTTTGGAAATGATTCTCAGCTTCCCAGGCTCACAGCATAAGCACAGTCCATAAGTGACAGCGGTGTTATGCTATAAAGGAGTTCACAAGTGTCAAGCGTCTAATCATGTGAATTTTGGTTACAGGAGAGCTGGGTGGTAAGTAATATCTGGAAGGCTATGTTAGTTTCCTCTTCCCCTTTACTGCATTGTTTTGTTATCACTCCTAATCACATCACCTCCTATTCATGAATGAGAAAACCCAGCTCAGAGCTGAGTTGGGGTCTCCCAGGCAGACCCGACTCCTATATTCTTTTCCATAAAATATGCTGCCCAGAGGTTTCTATTAGTCCCTTGCACACATGAAGGCGCTCTGCTGACAATACAGAAATGTTTTCAAATCTCCACTGAAAACACAAAGCGAGTTATTTTTCAGAGAGCTAGCTTCTGAGTAGCTGCTAAAATGATTCAAAGTATGACACTCCCTAAATACTCTGCCCTTGCCTGGGCCTTACTCACTTCTAACTGATGGCGTGACGTAGAAGGGATGGTCACTTCCTCCTTTCTTCGATCATGGTTTCTAGAGGCAGCAGATGCCTGCATTGAAGCAGTCCACGAACAGGCATGTGGGGAGCTAAGGCTATCTGCAGGCATATCCTGTGGCCATCAGAAGTCTGAGACCTCCTGAAAAACCCTAGGCTAGAGTCAGCTCGGCCTATTTCCCAGTATCACAAAAATAAATTCATGTTTCAAGCCCCAAATTCTTGAGGAAACTTTTGGGCAAAAGGAAATAATCATGTCTTACAGCAGCATTCTAGAAGCCTAGGAAAGCAGGAAAGTTTCTCAAGTGAGATGCCTGAGCTTTTAGGAGAGGACAGACTCTGCATCTGGTTAGAGAGATGGTTCAGCAGTTAAGAGCACTGGTTACTCTTGCAGAAGATCCAGATTCAGTTCCCAGCACCCACATGGCAGCTAACAACCATCTGTAACCATTCCAGGGGATCCAACTGGATGTACATGGTGAACTTGCGGGCAAAACATACACATAAAAAATTTAAAATTTAAAAGCATGTAAAGCAAAGTATAGTTGGGGGTACAGCTCAGTGGTAAAGAACTTGCTTAGCATGTCCAAGGCCTGAATTTGATCTCCAGGAACATCAAAAATATTTAAATTTCAAAAACTGAATTAAAGAAAAAATAAAACCAAAGCTTCACAACACCCTATCTACAATTCTAAAGAGCAAAGCTTCTGAGACTGAAGTTTTCTCCATAAATTTGGCACAAACTCACTTGGTAACATGGATTCAGTTATTATAGACTTTATGTAAAATTCCTCAAGTTTTACTGAAAAATATGTGATTATAGAAGGTCCCTTTAGGTCCCCTGGCACATCTACCTAGTACTTGATACACTATGGACCAGGTTTTTTTGGTTTTTGTTTTTAATATGAAAGCTTATGATTTTCAAGACTCATCTGGTTCCATAGGTTTTAGCTCATGCACTGCAGAGCTGCTCTGAGAGAACAGCACAGGCAATGGCTGGATGAGGCAAGCAAGCTCAGTGAGCAGAAGTCCCAGAGGCTTAAGAAACAGGGCTCAAAGAAGTTCCCTTACTTTCTGGAAAGATAGCTTATTTCACTCATCTGCAACAGATGTATCAGAGGCTACCAAGGAGCCAGGAAGAGCCTAATAGCTGCTCACTCCCAGCACCTGCTAACTGTAAACCAATGCCTTCTGTTTAAACTACACACCACACCTTACTGCTCACCCTCAGCCACTCTTAGACTCCTTAGTGTTTTCACAAGTTTCAAAGACTGTCCAAATCTACCCTTGTTAAAATATATCCCACTACTTTACTTAACACGTGACCTTTGCATCCATGACCACTAGCTCCTCAGGACAGGAATAAATACATCCTCCTAAAGATTTCCTTATAAAATAAATCTGGAGACACTGGTTAGATGACAAAGCCTCTTTTAGCCACAGGACTTCTCTGAGCTTATATATATATATATATCATGAATGACCAAGGGGGAATGCGATCCAGAGGCCTTCCTGCATGCTCCTCGTAGAACATGCACTCCCCAGTCACTCTCTGGAAACACTGCAGAAAACAGTGTGTGCTATCATACCTCCAGAGTTTACAGGAGCACCTGACACCCCAGCAGGCATAAGGCATGTTTCAGTGTGATAATAAAATGCTGGAAATAACCTAAATATCTGTTGATAGGGAAACAGATAAACCCATTGCAGTTCATAGAACACTATAGTTTAAAACAAAAGGGAGAGACGTGGGGCTGGAGAAATGACTCAGTGGTTAAGAGCACTGGCTGCTCTTGTAGAAGACCCTGGTTCAAAACCCAGCACCCACATAACTCCAGTTCCAGGGGATCCAACACCCTCTTCTGGCCTCCATGGGTACTGCACACATATAGCACACTTATGTACATGCAGGCAAAACACTACATACAAAATAAAAAAATAAAAAGTTAAAATAAAAAGGAAAGATGTAGGGCTAAAGAGATGGCTCAGCAGGTAAGAGCACATACCACTTTTGCAGAGGACTGGAGTTTGGTTCCCAGCACCCACATCAGGCAGCTAACAATCACCTGTAACTTCAGCTCCAGGGAATATCTGATGCCTCTAGGCTCCTCAGACACCTACACTCGTGTACATACCCCTACACACACATAATTAAAATTTTTAGAAACATTTATAAGGAAAGATGTTGCTAAGTTAGGGAAGGAAAGGACACAGAAAGGTAACCCTCAAAGATACCTTCACATTTTATGTAGTCTAAAAACAAAACAACAACAAAAATCTGAGACTCAAGGGCTGGAGATTTGGCTCAATGGTTAAGAATACTGGTTACTCCTGCAGAAGACCCAGGTTTGAATCCCAGCACCCACATGGCAGCTAACAACTGTCCGTAACTCCAGTACCCGGGGATTCGACAGCCTCTCCTGACCTCCTCTCCTGCATGACACGGGTGGTGAAAGATTTATCGTCCTCTTTTTTTTTTTTTTTTTTTTTTTTTTTTTAAAAAAAAAAAAAAAAAAAAAAAAAAAAAAAAAAAAGAGTACTTTAGACTCTTACAGAGGATCTGGGTTTGGGTTCCTAGCACCCACAGGGTGGCTAACAACTGTCTGGAACTTCAGTTCAAGGGATCCACATCCTCTTCTGGCCTCTGTGGGCACCAGGTATGCATGTGGTGCACATATACACATGCAACCAAACACTCATAAAATAAAATGAACATAAAAACTAAAACAAAGTGCAACATTCCACATCTAAGAGGAACTTGAGTATCTATACTTCTCTGCATGTCTGAAATCTGTAACTTTCAAACAAAGAAAAAAGATTTATACATGCTGGTGTGGAAGCACAACCCCTTCCACATGGAAGAAAATACACACAGATGGCGTTCAAGTGCATAGAATGTATCTGAATGATGCAAGGGAAAATGTTTGCAGGCCTCCTCTTTGGGGAATGAAGGTGTCAGTGAGCAGGTGGGAACAGTATCTTTTGTGCTACCCACATGTTTGCAACAATCAGCACTTTCACTAGAACCCAAACAAATTCTAACTACTCTCCTCAAAAGACATTTCTCCCAACTCCGGTCACTGCTCCTGCCCTAAGGATTGAGGGCATTTCACGTTAGTACACAACAGCAAGAAGGAAGCAGCTCCTTACACACATTCATGCCTTGTACCTTCAAGGCTTTTCTGTCAGAAAAAGATCATAACCTGCTTGGGCAGTGTCTGGAGTCTGACTACATATTAACAATAAAGTGAAATTCTGAAATAAAAAAAAAAACATATGCCGGGTGTGGTGGTGCACGCCTTTAATCCCAGCACTCGGGAGGTAGAGGCTTTTTTTTTTTATTTTGATATATCACAGTGAAAGATTTATCGTCCTCTTTTTTTTTTTTTTTTTTTTTTTTTTTTTAAAAAAAAAAAAAAAAAAAAAAAAAAAAAAAAAAAAGAATCTGTAGAACTAAGTTGAGGAATGCTTTCTTTTCTCTTTATCAGTCACACTGATTTTATGTAGCGAACCAATTTTCTTAGTAACTGAAATTGAATGCAATAAGCACAAACCATTCCCTCACCCAGAAGCCCAGGACCACTTCCTTTTCCCTCCCAACTCCTGTGGGAGCATCTAAACAGGACCAGGAAGATGAAAGGTGATCCTATAGAAGCTGAGAGGAAGGGGGACTGAGCCCAGGCTTCAGGTAGGGAACATTTAGTACAAAGGCAAAGTCCCTCGAAGCTACAGTGTCTCAGGGCACAGTGGGCAGTCAGGTCTGAGCAGATCCACTGAGAGGTGGGTAGAGCCATCAGGGCATGAAGCACCTTGCTAAGGAATGTGACTTGCTCACAGCTCACGTACACCATGGAAAGTTATTAAATGGTTTTAAACAATGTAGCAACTCCATTTTAGAGAGACAGAGAGCAGGGGAGAACAGTCAGGAAAGTGTAACTGGAGATAAACTAGTCAGGCAGCTCCTAAACAGTGTAAAGAGCATGGCCTGGGACAACGTGAATGAAGGCCAGAGGCAGAATCAACAGGATCTGTGAAGGACTGGTAGAGAAAGGACCAGGCAAAAATGCCCACGGGCTCCACCTCTAAGACCTGAGCAGCTACACAAGGAGCCTATGGGGAGGCACAGGAGGTGAAAAGCACACGCTTTCTGGACACACTGTGTTTGAGATGCCAGCAGAAATATGGCAGCCTGACTCAGAGGTGGTCTAGTTGAAAGCAGTTGTGACATACTGGCCTCCCTAAAGACTCACTTAGAAAAGAAGGGCACACAAGAAGAAACAGAAGTGAAAAACAGAAACTTGAGGAGTGCCCATGTAATTAAAGGAACCCTGCAAAAGAATGAAGAAGCCCAGGACACCATCAGGGAGACAAGGAAATTATTACATGACAGTAAAGAGCCAAAGAAACCAAGGACAGCAGCACTGTGAGGAAGAGGCGTCAGAATTACAAGAAGCTGCAGAAACTTGAGTAAAACTGAGTTTCTGAGGTCGGAAAAACACTTGGCCCTAGGGACACGACAGCACGTTAATTTTGGAACACTGCACACAAAGACCTTTGGGAAGAGTAAGTGTAAGTGGCATATAAAACATTTTATGGTAAAACACAATTATACCATGAAGGCAAATGAAAAAAATCAACAAACTTAGAAAGAGAAAATGAATCTTCAAAGAAATTTCTTGCTAGGGAAAGTTGCTTTGAGTTATGTACTCAGGCCTCCTAGGTATTAATTGTCAGTTAGGGGCTTGAGAAAATTTAAGAAGCACTAAACATAGGAAAAGAGCTAAGAAACTATCAGTATAAATAGTGAAAGAATTTAAGATGCAAGACAGCAAAAAACGAAAGCAGAAGGCAGACTCAGCAGATCTGTCATGAAGAAGCCATCAAGCCATTAGGGAGGGGAGCCTACAGAGGCTTTGAGAGAAGGGAGATCTGAATTTGTTCTTAAATTGAAGTAAGGAAGCAATGGGTAGGAAGAATTAAGAATGAGGAAGAAGGGGCTGGAGAGATGGCTCAGAGGTTAAGAGCACTGGCTGCTCTTGCAGAAAACCTGGGTTCAAGTCCCAGCACTAACATGGCAGCTAACAACCGTCCATAACTCCAGTTCCAAAGGATTCGACACCCTCTTCTGACCTCCTTGGGCACTGCACAACAAGGATGCACTTATATATAAGCAGACAATACATTTATACACATAAAATAAAAATAAAAATTAAAAATTAAAAGAATCTACTTAAAAAAAAAAAAGAGGAAGAAAAAGACAAAAGCCTTAGAAGAACTAAAAAAGGATCAAGAAACCAAGGGTGACTCTTAGAAAGTAGTAGAGGGCTATGGGTGCAGCTCAGGGGTAGAGGGTTTGCCTAGAATGTTTGAGGTTCAGGGTTCAATTACCAGCATTGAAACCAACCAACCAGGGGGCAGGGAGAGGGGCACATAAGA